GTCTGATTTTCGCTAGTGCTTAAATAGCGCTATCTACTGCGAGGATCGTGCATCATATGTATCTAATACCGCAGTACAAAATATATGAACTTCATATATTTCATTGTATCTCATTTAAGCAAAAATTAATTACTATAAGGCAGTGATAAGTATGACTAAGGCCAGTTAAATGGGTGAACGAACATGTTGCCTTGGATATGTTCTCATTTGTAAATGAAAATCGTCAAAGGAAATGAGTTGAACTGTTCGCGTTTGGTCCGCGGTGTCAAAACTCAAAATGTAGACATTCTGCATGTTCTTACGTAAAGTACTGAGACAGAGCACTGACAAACAAAATGGCGGACGAACTGATGTCTGATTTGTGAGAGATTCGTAAGTTCCATGTCTTTGAATTTTGTTCTACAATTGGCCTTTGTTATCTGGGCTTTAAAATAGCACTTTATCATACTGCGGTAAACGTATCTTGAAGAATACGGTCGTCGCCTTGATTTTGCAAAAAAAGATTAAAAAATAATTTTGTGATCTCAGCTCAGGCGATCCATCTACAACTTCATGCCTTTAAAATTAATTCCTCTTTGTATTTTTTCAGCTTCACCAACAGAAGAAAAAAACATGGCATCGTGTTGAGTGTTTCCTATTTTAGGCCCAAGCAACACCTCATGGATTCCTTTAGAGCTATAATTAAATGTGTTTGTTGTATTTTGAATTCTTACATCATGGGCTATAAACGCGATCAGTCATGCGAACTTTTGCTTCTGAGAACAGCTCAGAGACAACATGAAAAGCTATGTCTTTTGTTCAGGGTCTTTTTGCGGCCCGATTATCTCGCTTACTGCATCCTCTTCTACTTTTGGTTGGTATATCTCTTTTGGGTGATGCGTTAGATATAAAGAACTCCTACTGTAAGTGCGAAGAGTTTCCGATCGAGGATCGGCCGTTTGTAGCGATATGGAACGCCCCGACGGGTGGATGTTCCGTCAATTTCAGCATTAACATCAACTTGAGAGACTTTGACATTCTGGAAAATCCGAAACAAACTTGGAATGGAAAATATGTGACTGTTTTTTATAATGCACAACTGGGATTATATCCCTATTTTACTAACGAACAGGGAACAAACAGCTACAATGGAGGAATGCCCCAGGTAAACAAACGAATATCTCACCCTGATTACTCCATGGTTCAGGTCATTTATGATTTTAAGCCTGGCATATTTAGCAGCAAAATCTTCTGTTTAATTTGAGATATATTAGAAATAATTGACTTCCCACTTCTTGTATTAATCAAATTTCAACCTATAATTGTTTCCTACAGCGGGTAATATTATAACAGTCCAGTCACATTTAAATCAATATATATTGTTTGTTTCCATTACCACTCAGTAACTATCAAATTCCCAGCTTGAACTAAAATGGAGATTGTGTAATATTTAGTGTTTTGTTTTGTTTTTTTCAGCTGATAAATTTAGCTGCACATCTTGACAAAATGAAAAGAGATATCATTAAAAAAATCCCAGACCCAGATTATAATGGCCTTGCTATAATAGACTGGGAAGGTTGGCGCCCGACATGGGAAAGAAACTTTGATTCTAAACGAATTTATCAAAGTAGATCAGTGGAGCTTGTCCAAGACAAACATCCCGAGTGGTCCATGGAAAACGTTATTGAGGAAGCAAGAAAAGAATTTGAAAGAACTGCTCGGGTATTTATGGAAAGTTCTATCAAGTTAGCCAGACAAATCAGACCCAAGGGATTATGGGGATTCTATGGGTTCCCTGACTGTTTTGGATCAAATGAAACAAATTACCGCTGTTCTGATGATGTAAGTAAGGTCCATCATTAAATAAATTACTTGTTATGCATGAAGTTTTTATGGGAAGAAATATTTCATGCGTGTCATAAAGCCTTATGACAAAAGCAGCTAGTCATCCAAACCAAATTTAAGTTAGCAGACATCTACTATGTCTTTGGAGTGTAGATAGTTCAAATTACAAATCGAAGTGTTTTTAAGATGTTTACATTTAATGTACCACAAATATCTCAGCAGTACAAGTTAGACATAGGTAAATAGTCTTCAAGGTATCATTAAGATTGCAAGCCATTCTTTTTTTGTATTATTTTAAGAAAACAATTCAATCAATCTCAATCAATCTTTATTTTTTTGCACTATTTACAAATAATTATTTCTACTTTAGAGTACATAAAAAGGAGAGACATGGGCAAACTAAATTACACAAGTAGTGAAAAGCAAAATGTGTGCAGTGACCAAAGTAGCTTTAGTCCAGGCATTTTAGCCCCAAAAGACGGTCAACCTGCCACTAATTGCAAAAGAAGGTTTTTTAACGGTTTTTGGTCCAGGAACATGTCCTCTACAACATATTAAAAGTCCCCAAGAATCCGACTTAGGGAAGTTGACGAAAAACAAGTTTTTTTAGAGCCCTATATAGAGTAATACTGAGCGGCTTGGAAACGAGGTGGCATGTACTGCCTATTGTTTTGCTCGATTTTGAAGCCACGTGCAGGATGTGTTAATAAAGATCGGGACAATTAACTGTGTTTTCTTCCTAGGTAAGTGCATTTATGTACCTATTAAATGAGAGAAAAGTTATGTATAAGATTCTATAATTAGAAAAAAAACATGTAAAATCTGTAGAAAATATCTATGTGATGTTAGCTATCTAAGTGAAGTATTTAGCTGAGGAATTATGTCTTCCACAAGCGAATTTAAAACTTAAAAAGGTTATTTTCACACTGAAAGTAAAAGTAATGTCATTTTCTAAGATAATTTAATTCAAGAAAAAAATATTTGACTCAAGAATCTTGAGTAGAGACTTTTTTCACTTATCTCTTCGCGTTTAAGTTTTTGTCTCAAAACTTGAACTCATTAGTAAATTCATCTATTTTTTCCTTCAGAATTTAAAGAAAATATCCAGGAATCATACTGAAACTAATAAAACTGGCGAAAATGTTCATGTAACGCAAAGGAAATGTTTTCTTTCACTTATGAAGTAATAAATTAAGCTGTTGTGCTGCAAATTTTGCACTTTGGTTCAAGTTGAAAATTAAAAGGTCGAGGAGAATTGATTCCAATACACTTCAGGAATTTCGTTTATTTTTAAAAGCCCTTAATGTTCGCATTGATAATTGACAAACTTCAATTTGTCATTTGCCTGTAATTTCAGAGGAAGAGTCCTAAGTACTAATGGATAAAACAGTAAATTGTATTAATTGTAAAAAAAAGTCTCAATGGCGAGGGCGACGTCGTGACTTTGAAAGCAAAGGGAAGCGAAGGGATAAACCAGAAGTGTAGAGCGGGTTGATAACATCACTACGGTCCCTGGGCAGCAGGTACATCAGAATTGCCGGAGAGAGTACTGTTGTCCCAGCAGCATCAAACGAGCCAAAAAATGTCTCAGATGAAACAACTAGTAGTCATTGCTCCCTAACTTGCAAAGCAGAACAATGTTTTTCCTTCAAGGAGAACTTCACCTAAAGGCATTGACCAGAATGCAGCCATGCCTCGCTGCATCAGGCCACAACTTGTACATAAAGTGTGCTCGACTTTACCTACAGTCAATGACAGACTTCTGTACGGACCACCCGGATGTTTACCGAGCCTTTGCATCAGGTCTTCACGTAGCAAGAAGAAGTAATCGATTTTGGGCTGGATTATCTATAGACCTAGTCATCAAGCAGGTTCTTATGAGAAGTCTGAAAATCGTTGGTGGCTTGACCAGAGGGAGGGGCCTAACGGAGCAGCAACGTCTTATCTGGCTGTTATCCATACCTGCGTCTACCGAAACAAACCACATCATGCAAGAGCTGACAGGAGTTCAGTTTAACTCTGGAGAACAGAACAAAGATATGTCTAAGGCACAACAGACAAGAGATATGAAAGACACAGTGACCATCCTCAGGGCTCTGGCTACCCACAACCCTTTCTCTCTCGACACTGACAGTAATCTAATAAACGTCATGAATGGTGTAAACGCCGATAGTAATGACAATGCTGACACAGCCAAGATTGTCGGGGAGAAGATTCTATCGTCGATGAATATTATGGAACCTTAACCACTGATTACTCATTCAAACGAAGTGCCCAGGCAGTCACCATGGCATCGAAGTCCTCCGTAAAGATTGACAATGACCAAGTACAAGTTGACCCTCAACTTTTATTTCAGCGCCTCGTTATCGCCTGTGATAACTCCCACCTTGAAGCATTACCTCAGTACGAGCTCTGCACCTATCCCACGGCTCTTTTTGATTCCCCATTCATGTTAAGGCAGCCACAAAAGCCAGCGCTGGCAGACGCACTATGGACAAGGCTTACACCAGAGGCAAAGACGCAGGCTGAAGGGAATGTACAATACGTGCTGGACGTAGGCGCTCTTCTCTATCGAGTGCCCTGGCCAAGAGGTTCTCCAACATACAAGGAAGTCTGCAACATGTATTGCACTTATGTGCAAAGGAAATATGGAAGGGCGATAGTTATGTTTGATGGGTACGACGAGATGTCAACTAAAGCTATGACACAGCAGAGGCACGCATCAGGGAAGGTTGCTGTCACTGTCACTTTTACAGAAAGCATGTCTGTAACGATGAAGAAGGATAACTTTCTTTCGAATCCCAAGAACAAACAATGCTTTCTGTTAATGCTAAGTGAGGCTCTCCAGAATGTAGGATGTGTAACACACCACGCAAATGGTGATGCTGACCTGCTTATAGTCCAAACAGCTATAGAGTCTGCCTGAACGAAAACCACGATTCTAGTAGGGGATGACACAGATTTGCTTGTTCTTCTTTGTCATCATGCTACCGAAGATGGTTGCGACCTCTATTTTAGACCAGAACCAAAGGCAAACGCAAGAAGTGGGCGCGCCTGGCATATGAAGAGAGTCAAAGAACAGCTGGGTAAGGAAGTTTACAGAAATCTCCTTTTCCTTCATGCCATCAATGGATGTGACACAACATCATGCCTCTATGGAGTTGGCAAGGCAACAGCCTTAAAGAAATTTGAGAATGTACTACACTTCAAACAGCAAGCTGGCATCTTCAGCCGTCATTCTACTGTTTCCGACTTTGTCAGTGCAGGTGAAAATGCACTTGTATCGCTTTTCAGTGGTAGACAAGGGGTAGGTCTAAACGCTCTCAGATGTCAGCGTTACTTTGAAAAACTTGCTAACAAGACATCTCATATTGAGCCGCAGAATCTGCCCCCAACAACAGCAGCTGCCTGATTTCATAGCCTGCACCTCTACCTACAGGTAAAGCAATGGCAGGGAGAAGATGATGGTATGTCAGTGGAGGTCTGGGGGTGGAAAGTCAGTAATGATCAAGTATTTCCTGTTGCAACAGATTTGCCGCCTGCCCCAGAATCGCTTCTCCAGTTAATCAGATGCAACTGTTCGTCTGACTGTAGCAGTATGAGGTACATCTGTCGCAAGAATGGTATGCAGTGTTCTCCGGCATGTGGCCAATGCAAAGGAACTTCATGCACAAATTAATTCTTTGCACACTGTAGACTTTGAAAGTGAAGATTCGGAAGACTAGCATCTTTAAAAGTTAGAGCACATGTACAATTGAATTACAGGGGTTGTCTGGTATAGGACTTTTTTGTCGCAACTCTTAATCAATTTTGACTCATAATGTTTCCGCAAAATCAGATCTCACTGCGGGAAGTACATAGACTCTAAAGAACCTTAGTTTTTGATTTATTTAAATGACATACTTTTTGGGAACTTCAACGTATAATACGTTAAAATAATTATTTTTAAGTAGTTTTGGTGAAATAGCTCGATTTATACCAATAAAAGAATGCGAAACAGCAACTTCCGGTTTACAGCCTCTTTTTCATGTTATGCGAAAAGGGAACTTTTGTTGTGAGTCCTGTTTGGAGGTGTTCCCATGCTTGGATCTTTAGGGACTTTTAGTATGTTTATGTATAGGATATTCCTGACTGGTCAATGATGAGAAAGCTTCTTTTGCAATTAGTTGAAGATCCAACGACAAAATGCCTGGGCTACTTAAGCTTTCAGGTTGGTCACTGCCACAGACAATTAATTGTCAATTAAATGTACATTTAAAGGATCGTGCCTCATATGTATCTAATACCGCAGTACAAAATATATGAACTTCATATATTTCATTGTATCTTAAATGTACATTATAGGCATTTACATAACAGTAAAAAACAAACTAAGCAAACTACACTCGGGAAACAGATTGAGTATTTAAAGGATACATTTTGTTTTGCTTATAGAAACAATTAAAAGAAATTTAAGAATAAACACTAGCGAGAGAAATACACAACGTTTCGATGACTCCATGTCATCATTCTCAAGTGAGAAGAGAATAAAAATGAATAGTTAATTTATACCGTACGAAGGTGGCAAACGTAAAAAGTTTAAAATATTTAAAATATTTAAATAAATA